AAAATTAATTAAATCGACCAAAGGGAAACCAAAGAAAACCATAAAGCGTCTAATCGCAATAATTTTATTTGCTGCTCTTTCGACTTCCAAGCAGACCAGAAAAGTACCCTTGAGGATTGCTCTCAAAACTGCCCTCAGAGATGTAGGATGAGCCACCACTGGCCGTGGCTACCATCATGCCAGAACCTCCACCACCGCCTTTTGATGAGCCTCTCCCACTACCACCCCCCCTCCACCTCCTTTGCCACCTCCAGTAGCTAGCACCACCATCACCACCCTTGCCACCCATGTTGAGAATTGTAAATGTACATATGAATATTGATTAGGTTCAAATGCACTTGTTATTGAACATTATGGGACGAAAAATGTTTAGTATTTATAGTAGTGGAAGGGAAATGACATTGGCATACTACTACAAGGAGTCTTTAATTAAAGTAGCTGGCTTGTTTAAATTACTGGAACACCTAGGCTAGATAGCTAGCTATCCTCTCTTAAAATTTAGAAGATATGAATTCTGGCGTGGATTTATGGAACTTCCCTCTGGCAGCTGCACATTTACCAGGTGTGATAATAATTGAGGCCCTGAGGTTTTTTTCTTTCTTCTATTTTTTTCTTTTTCTTTTTTACTAGTTTACGAACCTAATTGAGCCTTCTCAGCCTCTCAAAGGCTCGAACCAATATAAACTTTAACTTTTTTAATTTTGGGTTCGAGCTTTAGGAAAAGGGCCAGGGTCGCCAGAGACTGCAAAAGTGTTTTGGGCGAAGACAGGAGGCAGCGGCCCAAGAGGACAGCCAACCCATGACCCATATGAATTTTGAAACTTAATATCAATTCATTGTTTGCAACCCAAACTGGATAGAATTGAAAAATAAAAATTCTTAAAATTAGGAGAGGATCTTGATGTTAAATACCCATCTCTTATTTAAAAATTTATATTTTGTAATCTAAAACAATTTTAAGTGTAGAAAGGTATTTCAAATTAATATTCACCTTCATTTTAGATTTTTTGTTTCATTTATGAATTTCCTTGAGAGGAAGAAAATTATTACTAAATTATTTAACTTAAATATGACAATGGAATCAAACAACAAAATATGAAAATAATATTATGTTTAGTATGATTGTGTTTAAACAATCAAAATTAATAATTGGTCTTCTATTTGTTATCCGAAACAAGAAGGTGGGCTAGGGATAAAAAGTTTGGTTCAGTGGAATAAGGCCTGTATTTTGCGTTTCATTTAGATGCTATTTACCAAAGCAGGTTCTATATGGGTTGCTTGGGTTCATGCTTACTTTTTAAAAGGCAAAAGCTTTTGGTCAATAAAAATCCCAAATGATGCATCTTGGGGGTGGAGAAAATTGCTTAAACTCAAACCACAAGCCAAGAAACTTATGCTACATTCACTTGGTTATGGGGAGGATACCTTTCTTTGGTTAGATCATTGGCACCCTTCAGGTCCCTTAATAGATGTATATGGTGATAGTGTTGTGAAGAGTCCAGGACTGCCATACAATGCAGAGGTATCAACTGTTGTGTAAGGAAATTACTGGAATTGGCCTTTAGCTCGATCCCAATAGCTTGTTCAGATCCAAATGGCCCTTTTTGATAAGCTTTACCCAAAGGAAGGGGTAAAGGATTCTATAATATGGTTATCGTCTAGATCAGGCACTTTCAATACAGGAAGTACATGGCATTGGCTACGGGAAAAACAGGACAAAGTCCCATGGCATAGATTGGTTTGGTTCTCACAATCAATCCCTAAACACAGCTTCATTAGTTGGTTAGCAATACATGATAGATTGACTACAAGAGCTAGGCAAAAGAAATGGGCAGCCAACATAAATGATACATGTCTATTTTGCAATTCTGAGGCAGAAACAAGTGCACACCTCTTTTTTAAGTGTAGCTGCACAAAGCAAGTTTGGCACAAATTATGTGAAATGGTAGGAATTCCTTTCACTAATGCGTGGCAAAAATTATTAGCATGGATGGGGAAGAAAGTTAGAAGGAAGTCACTATACACTATTCTTATTAAATTGTCGTGGATTACAGCAATTTCCTGCATTTGGAGAGAAAGGAATAGGCGAGTTCATTAGCAAAGTTTTCAATCAATGGAAAAAATTGTTCAAGATATTCAGTTTGATGTCAGGAATAAAATTTTAGGCTTTGCTAAGCCTAAAACTTCCCCTTTGTCCATGGATATTGCAAAAAGATGGGAGATTGAGGCTGTTGTAAAGAATTGAGTGCAATTGAGTTGTGCTGAGTATTATTTGATTGGTTGTAGCAGCACATATACATTACAAATACTGGATAAATAAAAATTTTACATTTTATCCAAAATAATAATAATAATAATAATAATTGAAAATTAAATCAAAAATTAAAATTATCAATTTATTGTGTATAAATATTTTAGAACAAATACTCAAAACTAAAAGGTTGATTTATTTATAAAAATTATTATTTTTAATCTTAAATTTTTAAATTTTTAAAAACTAAAATAAAAAGCTACAATTATAGTAATAAATGGAGCCTAAATTAATACCCCATTAAACAAATCAAAAAGGAGTTTTTCAATTCAAATGGTCTAAAAATAATTTATATCAGTAATAATTCATATATTGGTTTTTTCCCACATTTTTTAATTTGATCCAAACTAAAAAAAACCCTGTACTCTTAGCAAATTTTTTTTTTCCCGTCTTTGGATTTTTGTTAATCTCATTCTCATAACATCAATTTTGAATTGTGTTTATGAAAAGTGAATTCGTGAGAATCTCTTCAAATAAAAATAGAGGTTTATGTTTCATAAAAAACAAAAACAAAAAAAAAGGGTAAATTAGGGTAGGGAAGCATACGCGTTGGGCTAAATTACAAGAGAACAAAGAGGAGGAAAATGGAACGAAGGTGCACTTATTTTTACTTAGAAATTAATGCGTGTGGGGTCTCCTGCATCTGCACTATGTTTAAATTTTAGTTCACACAGTTAGAGCGCATGACTTTGTAGCTTCGATAGGAAAATTAAGTATTACACAAATTATTAGAGTGGCGACATCCTTTGTCAGCGAAAGGAAATTTAAGTTTATAGAATTAGGATTATAGGATTATTGAAAATGTTATAGTTATACTGTGAGATTTAGTGGTTTGATTTTATAAAGATTGGTATCCAATGTTTGAAGAGAATGACATTTATATATCAAGCCTGTTTCATGAGTTTGAAATGTCATTATTATATGACGTTTGAATTTTTTTTTTCTTAACATCATTCAATTTTTATTATATTTGCCCAATTGGTTAGAGGTTGCACCCTCTAAATAAAGTCTACCTAGATTTCAAATCCCGCTTCGCCTAAAATTGTAAGCTGTTAAAATAAAAATAAATATTAAATGCATAATGGATAAATCTAAAAGTGCACTTTAACAATATATTTGGATTGTGGGAACAAAGAACAAGGGAAAAAAATTTTATTTGGTTATAAAAAAAAAATGGATGGAAGGGAAAAATTTTCCTTTCTTTTATCTTTTCATTTAATTTATTTACTTGTTAAATGAGAGAAATGGAGGAAAATGAAAAGATACAATTCCTCTTCCCTCTCTTTCCCTCCCCTCCATTCCCCTCAACCCAAATATGTTGTCTGTTTTTGTCTTTTTTCTCCAAATTTCTAAGTGATTTTAGTGATATATCTATGAGATTGATGTTTGTCAATTATGTCTCTAAAAAATTAAGTAGAAAACTACTTTAAAACTATATTATTTCAACAAAAAATTATGAAAAATAAAAAACAAAAACAATCATTTCTTCTTAAAAGTAGTTTTTTTTTAGTATTTTTTTAATGAAAGTTTATTAAAATGACATAGTTTTAAAATATTTTTTTTCTTAATTTTTTAAAGACCCAACTGACAAACACTTACACTTATATATATGAGGAGGGATTTATTTACATATAAATTCTACACATTATATTTACACAAAATCTCAATAAATTATTTTTTATTTTTAATGATTAAGATTTATCATATTTTTAGGTGAAAAAGATAACTATTTTTAATAGATATGAATAAATCTCAAAAAATAAAAATTGAGAGATGAATAGTTGATATTTTGTGTAAATACGATGTGTAAAACTTATATGTAAATAAATTCTTACTATATAAATTAAAAAATACAAATCAATCAAGACTCTCAAAAAAATTATAATCCCAACCTCAAATAACATAATTTT